TCTCTCTCTCTCTCTCTCTCTCTGTCTCTCTCTCTCTGTCTCTCTCTCTCTCGGCTATACACCTAGCTTAAAATGCTTTCTAGTAGCTGGGCATGGTGTACACACCTATAGTTCCAGCACTTTGGGAGGCTTAGGCAGAAAGGTGGCAAGTTCAAGCCCAACCTGGGTAATGATTTAGTGAAAACTTCTAAAACTACAAACTAAAAAAGGGTTGGAGATGTAGCTCAGTGGCACAGCACCCCTAGGTTCAGTCCCCAGCAGCGGTCTGTGTATGTGTGTGTACATGTACAGGAAGGAAGGAAAGAGGGAGAGCAAGCAGGAGAGTGTGTGCACCACACGCCTTTCAGGCATCCTTGCTGGTAGGAGACAACTGCAGACAGGCTTCATTAGGAATTCCTGCTTCTGGGGGAGTCACAGCTGCTAAGCTGCATGCTTTTCACCTCAGAGGTGATTACAAGGTTCCAATGAGCCATACACATTCTACTTGTGTCTCAAAAAGAAATTATGATCAGCACCAATATTGGAGCTTCTTCTGCCAGGAGAGGATCCCAGTGGTATGGGTCACCTTCTTGTCACTGGGTCAAAATTCGCAGCACCTGCAACATAAGGACAGTTTTTTGTGGCTCACGGTTTCAGGGGTTCAGTCCATGGTCCACTGCTCTGGGGCAGAAACTACATGGCGGAGGGGCGTGGTGGAGGCAGGCTGCTCCCCCAAGGGCAGCCAGGAAGCAGAGAGAAGGGAGGGGCCAGGGACAAGAATCCACCTTCCGGATTACAGCCCAGTAGCCCCTCTTCTGACTAGGCCTCCTCAACAGCCCATATAGCTATGAACTCACCAGTGAATCCGTCCACTGATGACCATAGCACCCCACGATGCAGTCACCTTCCAAAGCCCTGCCTCTGAACACAGGAGACTTTTGGGGGACATTTTAGATCTAGACCATTACACAATTTAAGGAAGAAAACAACATAAGCAAATTTCATATTTCTGTGTGGCTTTGTCCCCAAGCATGTAATTTGTTCATTTTTAAAATATATTTACTTCTTCAGAAAGGAAAGCAAGATTGCCGGTTCCAAATACATTTACTTCTTCAGAAGGGAAAGCAAAATTTCCGGTTCCATTTATCCTGGGTTCCATCATGGTCCTGCACACTGAACACAAGCCCAGGGGTGACCTGATGGTGCAGCAGTGGGGCTGGAAGGGACAAATTCAGGGTGTGGGAGAGGTCAGGTGATGCGACAGTGGTCAGCACATTGACAGATGTCATTAGAACGGGCTTGGCAGGTGCTATGCAGAGACACAGGGTTCCATTGCTGTCCTGGTCCCACCGTGATGTGTCAAAGCAGTCACTGTCATATCAGTGGGAGTAGGAGGAGAGGAAGATAAGGTAGAATTCTATGTAGTTCACAGGTCCAGGTGGGGCAGAAACTTTCCCTTCTCAGGCTGCAGGTCAGGGGTAGACCACTCATCCTCCAAACGCCAGGCCCTGGGTTCCATCCCTGGCACCACAGGAAAGAAAAAACAATCAAAACAAACAAAATGCCAAACACTGGATCTTAGAGAAAGAAAGAAAGAGAGGGAGGGAGAGAGAGCACGCCAGGCCCCGCTCCCTCCCTTGGGCAAGCCTCTCTCAGCCCTAGGAAAGTAGAATTGAGGAGAGAAATACTAAAAGGATTAAATTCATATCACCACCGTCTCCATGTTAAGGAATTACCTGTGTACAGTGGTAGGATCTGGTATATTAGGGTTTCTTATAGATTAGCTCTGTAATTTAAGCTAAAATATATAATTGAATTAATGATCTAAATTTACAATTTTAAGTTGAAGTTTTACTAAAGCATTTCAATTAAATCATATGTTAAAACAGTTAAGTGACCTGAAGAGTCACCATATTTATGCATTGGATTTATGTTTATAATTATTTCAAAATGTGGGAATACTTAGTTTGAGTGAGGTGATTGGGCTCCTTAAAAGGAAATTATTAAATATATAAAAGCAATTTCATATATTTGAGAACATATACAAAATTTCTAAGTAATAAAATTATAATAAAAATCAGTTTAAAGAGTAATTGTTAAAGTTTGCTAAAAAATATGAATTAAGTTGAATTAAAACTTAATCAACTATTAGTTTTTTGTTTTGTTTCGTTTGTTTTGAGATGGGGTTTCAGCTGTGGAGTCCAGGCTGGCCTTGAACTCATTATGTAGCACAGGCTGGCCTAGAACTTCACTGATCCTGCTGCCTCAGCCTCCCAAGGGCTGGGATTACACGCGTGCACCGCCATATCACATCAGGTTTGGAAATGGTGATTTTTAGCTCCTTTGTGAAATGAGATTAGACACTGCCAAACTAGTTGAGTAAGGCTAATTTGCTTTAAATTATTAAAAAAGAATGCAAGTGAGAATTAAGAAAAAAATAGTAGGGATGCTTCCGTTCAGGATGGATTTCTTGCTTAAAGCAAAGTATTGCTCTGGATCAATTTGTCCTCAACCAAATGGTTTTGGATGAAATGGTGGGTCACACAGAGTGCAGGTTAGGCATCCAGTGTCGAGATCAGGGCAGGGCGAGAGTTTCCAGAGCTGTATCTGAACCCTGTCCGGGCGAAGGGACTCTGTGAGCTTCCGCAGGGACGTGGAGACAGCAGCGGGGCTGGGACCTGCCGACCACGACAGCCCCCTCCATCCCCAGCTGCAGGCTCTCTCTGGCCCAGAGCTGCCTCTGGCTGATAACAAAGCGGGAATGCCTGAGTCCTGCAGCTCCAGAGACTCCCTGTGAGCTGCCCGCTGTCCTCTGCGGCAAGGTCACAGCGGTGACGTGGCCCCGGGCCGCTGAGCATCCCAACACTCAGGCTCACTTGGTGAACGGCCTGCCCTCTCGGTGGCATCTTGGTCCCAGACCAGTACATGAGGGCTGAGGGTGCGGCGGCACCTCGCACAGGGCCCTGACAGGACAGGTGCTTGCTGAAGGCGGTCTCTTCTCCCCTTTCCTCAGCTCCGTGCCATGCACGAGCCTGTGCTCATTCTGCTCCAGCCCTTTCCTTCCCACCTGGCCCCCACCCTGCAGCGCCCCCCTCAGTCCCGGCCCCCAGTCCCGTCCGTTGGCTGACGCTAGGAAGGTGTCAGTCTAGTTGGGTTTCCTTTCTCCTCTGCTCCTCGCCTGCGTTCTCCCTTGGCTGGGCCCCCTCCTCATGGCCATGCCCATCCGTCCCCTTGCGTCTCCCTCTCCCCGCTGTCCCTCCACCCTGTTTGCCTCAGACAGTGTCTCCCTGCTGTCTGTGCTCTGGGGCCCCTCCCAGTCACCCCGCCAGTGCCGCTGTGTCCTTCCCAAAGCCGCACACTGAGGATGCAGTAGCGGTTTCCCCCAAGTCCTCCTCTGTGTTTCTTGCCAAAGGCACTTCTCCTTGGAACTCCTGGTTTGCTCCAGGCCACGGTCTCCCTAGGGCCGACCTTCCTGCCCCAGCAGCTCCTGGCCAGGGACGATACCAGTTCCTGCCTGTGCTCCGCCCTGGCCTGGGTGCAGGTAGGCACCTCAGCTGGACTGAGCTGCAGCGTCCTGGGGCCTGAGGTGCACAGGGCACACGGCGTGCCCTGGGGGCTGCACGGTGGCACAGGTGACGCCCGTGCCCAGCACATGCTGGGCCAAAGCCCGGGATGTAAGTGGACCCTTGGGATCCCGCAATGCTCTCTCTCCCTTGTTCCCAAGCAAGGCAACTCGCCCCACTGGGGTCCCCCGGCAATGTCTGGACAGGGTCTTGGTGGTCAGCACTTGGGGTGCTCCTAGCCACAGTGGGGAGAGGCCAGGGAAGCTGCTGAATGCTCCACAGCACCCCAGGTGCCCGCTGTCAGGAACACAGGACCCCATGATCCTGTTCTACTTCAGCTCTGCTCAAGAGCCAGCTGCAGGCCACGGCTCTCTGTGGCATCTTCCAGACCTGACCCGGGCCATTACAGGGGTGGCCTAACCCTAACCCTGGGCTGGAGTGTGGCGAGTGCCCCCTCCCCATTCAGGAGGGATCTGCAGCCCAGACACAGCAGCACCTCCTGCCCGAGTGATCCCAGCCCTGCTGCACACCAGGCAGACCCCGCTGCACCAGGCAGAACAGCTGTGGAGGAAGCCACTGTGCAGGGACCTCGGCGACAGCTGGTCAGCCCCACTCAGGCTCAGGGTGGATGGCAGCGTGTCCAGCAGGCCGTTCCTGTGGGCACGGAGTCCAGCCACAGAGGTCTGTTAGCCTTAAGTCGCACAGGACAATAAAAGGCAGAGGCACATTCAAGAGAACTCGGCACGTAGGATGGCTGCTTTCCAAGCTCTCCAGCCGGCGGAAGCCACTGAGTTCACTGGTGACATGCCTGAGATGGTCTGCAACAAAACGTTCCCGGCGCCTGTGCCCAGGGGCTCCCAGACAGGGACGGTCACGGGGTGCTGCTCATCCCTGGGCTCATCCTCCATGAGCTCATGGCTGAAAGTGAGTTTTTGAGACAAGGCCTTGCTGCATAGCCCAGGCTGGCCTGGAACTCATGGAAGTCCTTCTGCCTTGGCCTCCCGAGTGGTGGGATTGCAGGTGTGTGCCACCACGCCCGGCTGATTCTTTTCTTTTTTTCTTTTTTCTTTTAAAAAGAATAAAAAAACCCCAATAAAAACAATACAT